GGAGAGGCGCCTCTCTCTCCGCCGCAGCCCTGGGGCAGCCTGCACCCCAAACCCCTCATCCCCAACCGCACCCCAGAGCCCACAGCCCCAGCCAGAGCCCTCACCCCCCGCACTCCAACCCTCTGCCCCAGCCCTGAGCCCCCTCCCACACTCCGAACCCCTCAGCCCCACCCCCGCCACACATCCCCTCCATATTGGTGCACATAACAAAATTCATTCCGCACATGGATGTAAAAAACTAGAGGGAACATTGGCCGTGACACTTTTGTATTTTTATGTCCGATTTTGTAATCAAGCAGTTTTTAAGTCAGGTGGGCCGTGTGGGGACGCAAGACAAATCAGACTCCTGAAAGGGGGACAGTAGTCTGGAAAGGTTGAGAGCCACTGTCCTAAATGACTGCCCCAAGCTCAGCCATTAACTCGTGGCAGAGCTGTGAGTAGAACCCAGGAGTCCTGACTCCTGTCCCACTCTCCATAACACCTGGTTGTGCAGGTGGGTGGCTAATCAAACCAACAACAATGCAAGTTTGCTCCCGATATGACGGAAGGTTGTATCCTGAAATGCTGCCTTTCTAAAACAAAACAAAAAAAGTTTCCGACTAAGGAATAAAGGAATATTCTTCTAATGTGAGAATAGAAAAGTTGTTTTTTTTGAAATTCATTTACCTTTTATGTGTGTTAAATTCCAGGCCAGAGTTGGGCTCCTTTTCTGGCTGGCGTGGTTTAATGTACCTTGCAGCAATGTTCCTTTAACGGAGACAAAGTAGTTACATTCTTCTACTGCAGCGTGCCCTCTTCTGCCAGCATAATTTAATCAGAAATAACAGAGCACCGTAAAAGGTGCATAATAAATCTAACCTTTGCCCAGGACTCTGTGTTAAATCAGGGACTGTGATTGCCATATCATCCACGATGCCTGGACTGGCCGATGCTCTTATGCTGTGTCAAAAATGAATAACTGAGGTTAGAGAAGATGCTGTTTCATTGTTCTCCACTGAACGCAAATTCAAAACTAAACAGCTGAATATGATCATCAATGTATTTTGTTAACCTGTTCAGTAGGACCTGAAATGAGAGCATATGCCCATAACAAAAGTGTTTAGGGTTTTAAATTGAATCAAACCTTATGCAGTGTATTAGTTACATGGCAGAAAGCGATTTGGACTTGTATTGGTGTGTGCACACATGCAATTACTGTTTAACCCTAGGGCACCTATGACCTTGCAATCTGAAACTCACTTCACTGTTGTGAACATATAAAGTGAGGGCTTGGATTACAAATCAGTGTCCGTTTACTCAAATGTCCTGAGTCCATATTTAGGAATATGTGATGCCTGTATTTATAACACAAAGCTAGGATCCCTCACTTCAAATTGCTGCTGTAGCACTAGTGAAATCCAGTCACTCGCAGATCTCACATCATAGCCTTTTACCAAAGTAAGAGGTGGGATATCGCAACCAGGAACTGTCAGATTTTTCTTTATTAACTGGAACTCTATCACTTTTTACGGGGAGCTCTTCAGCGCTCACAGCTAAGCAGTGTTGGGCTCACATCAGAAAGTAGCTGGAAAGGAGACCTCGTAAGAAACCCCCATGGTGCTGGTGACACTAGGTGGTGCTCTTCCCTCTGAGTCAGTATGGAGCCAGACACCCCC